CCTGCAACTCAGCGCTATTTCTCTACTGTCCCCAACACCACTATCACAAACAACTTCACAGAGCCTCCACTTTCAGACAAGCTGATTGGCTTACTTACACTCCCCTGCCAGCCTAATTTCTTCTCTTGTGCATCTGAGACTGCTGAATTTTAGGCCAGTTAACACAGATTTTCCTCTATCAATGCGTGTGTGTGTGTGTGTGTGTGTGTGTGTGTGTGTGTGTGTGTGTGTGTGTGTGTGTGTGTGTGTGTGTGTGTTGTGGTTGGTAATGGGGCTTGAACTGGGCTGGGCACTGTCCCTGAGCTCTTCAGCTCAAGGCTAGCATTCTACCACTTGAGCCACGATGCCACTTCCAATTTTCTGGTGGTTAATTGGAGATAAGAGTCTCATAGACACTCCTGCCTGGGATAGCCTTGAACTACGATCCTCAGACCTCAACCTCCTGAGTAGCTCTGATTACAGGCATGAGCCACTAGCACTCAGCATGTAGTTTTATATTAGCCAGTACCTCAAATGGTATATTACCTCAGAGTATACTATTTTTTTAATTATTGTTTAATTAGCCTTTTATGAAAATTTACTCAGATAAAGTCACTGCAAAATCTTTATCTTCTTTTCGCTAGTACCAACATAGGCATTTGCAGTCACCTGACTTTCCTAATTCTGTTAACATTCTTTCATTATTTTCTTGAGGTCTTTTTCTTCTCATACACTTCATGTCTTGCATGTCTATGTTTGGGTTTTGGATTTTTTTTTGTATAATCCAAGGAATTATGAATCATACCAGTTGTCTTGCCTCTACCAAAAGGGATTGTAAGGGCTGGGAAGGTGGCTCAGTGGTAGAGCGCTTGCCTTGCATGCTTGAGGCCCTGGGTTTGATTCCTCAGCACCACATAAGCAGAAAAAAAAAAGCCGGAGGTGGCGCTGTGACTCAAGTGGTAGAGTGCTAGCCTTGAGCTGAAGAGCTGAGGGACAGCGCCCAGGCCCAGAGTTCAGGCCCCACGACTGGACCAAAAAAAAAAAAAAATTGGTAATGGTCTCTCACACCTGTAATTCTACACTACTCACGATGTTGAGATCTGAGGATCATAGTTCAAAGCCAGCCTGGGCCAGAAAGTCTCATCTCCAATTAACCACCAACAAGCCAACAGTGAAGCTTTGGTTCAAGTATAGAATGTTAGCCTTGAGCAAAAATGCTCATGGACAGTGCCCTCAGTTCAAGCTTCATGACCCCTACCACCATACACACACACACACAAAAACAAAAACAAAAACCCACATCTGATGTGATCTTCTACATTTTGGTTTCATTTTCCCAAAATTTGTCCTAAATCCTATTCCCTTACCTGAGTGAAGAATATTAATGATCATTTATTTCCTTTGAAGTACTAGATTAGTCATGTTGATCTCCCTGATCAGGATAGTTGGTAGTGGTTCATGGTGGCAGTATACCCTTAGGCAGCCAGGGAAAGCCACATTGGTTAAGTCCCTTAAGGTCTTATGTGATGGATCAACATCAACTCTGGATCCAATGAAGAATCAAAATAGTATCAAATAGCTGGTTGTGGTAGTACATACCTGTAATTCCAGCACTCAGAAGGCTGAGACAAGGGAATCTAGAATTGCAAGTCAGCCTAGACAACACAGCAAATACATAAAACACAAGACAACACAGAGCATCAAGTTTGGATTGGTAAGAGATAAAATTAAGTAGTCAAGTCATTAAATAATCAGAGATTCCAAAAATATTTATATATTTATAATATTTTAACATTTGTACAATAGTTTTTTTGTTTGGTTGTGGGTCCTGAACTCTGGTCCTGGGCATTGTTCCTCAGCTCTTCAGCTCAAGGCTAGCATTCTACCACTTGAGCCTCAGCGCCACTTCTGGCTTTTTTTTCTGCTTATGTGGTGCTGAGGAATCGAATCCAGGTCCCTCATGCATGCAAGGCAAGACTCTGAGGTGATGAGCCAAAGTCTCTCCCCTCACGGAGTTTATGTAAAATTCAAGTTGCCTGGCTGGGACTGTGGCTCAGTGGTAGAGTGTTTGCCTAGCATGCATGAAGCCCTGGGTTTGATTCCTCAGTACCACATAAACAAAAAAAGTCTGAAGTGGCTCTGTACCTCACGTGGTAGAGTGCTAGCCTTGAGCAAAAGAAGCTCAGAGATGGGCTGGGAAGGTGGCTCAGTGGTAGAGCGCTTGCCTTGCAAGCCTGAGGCCCTGGGTTCGATTCCTCAGCACCATATAAGCAAAAAGAAAAAAGCCGGAAGTGGCGCTGTGGCTCAAGTGGTAGAGCGCTAGCCTTGAGCTGAAGAGCTGAGGGACAGCGCCCAGGCCCAGAGTTCAGGCCCCCAACTGGACCCAAAAAAAAAAAAAAAAGGAAGCTCAGAGACAGTGCTCAGGCTCTGAGTTCACGCCCATCACAGGCAAAAAAAAAAAAAAAAGTATAAAAAAATTAAAATTGCCATACACTTTATGCTACAAGGAGTCAATAATCTAAATAAGAACAAGGACTACTCTGAGGACATAATATTAAGGCTTGAGGCCAGGAGCCCGTGGCTCATGCCTGTAATACAAACTACTCAGGAGATGGAGATCTAAGGATCTGCATTTCAAAGCTAGCATGGGCAGGAAAGCCCTTGAGACTTTTATCTCCAATAAACCACCAGAAAACTGGAAGTGGCACTGGGCTCAAGTGGTAGAGCACTAGTCTTGAGCTGAAGAGCTCAGGGACAGTGCCCAGGTCCAGAGTCAAGTCCCACAACAGAGAGAGAGAGAGAGAGAGAGAGAGAGAGAGAGAGAGAGAGAGAGAGAGAGAGGGGACAGGGGACAGAGGACAGGGGAGAGAGAGGGTGAGCAAGAGCCAGTGCTGGAGAGGGAGAGGGAGAGGGAGAGGGAGAGGGAGGGGGAGCGAGCACACACACGTGCTGGGAAGATAGCTCAGTGGTAGAGTGCTTGCCTTGCATGCATGAGCCCCTGGGTTCGATTCCTCAGCACCACAAAAGCAGAAAAAGCCAGAAGTGGCACCGTGGCTCAAATGGTAGAGTGCCTTGAGCTGAAGAGCTGAGGGACAGCGCCCAGGCTCAGAGTTCAGGCCCCATGACTGACAAAAATAATAATAATAATAAATATGGGGAAGCCAAGCACTGATGGCTCATTCCTATAACGCTAGCTATTCAGGAGGCTGAGGATCACAGTTGGAAGTCAGCTCGGGCAGCATGTCCATGAGACTCTTATTTCAAATTAATCACCAAAAAGCTAGAAGTGGAGCTGTGGCTCAAGTGGCAGAACATTAGTCTTGAGCAAAAAATAAATCTCAGGGACAATGCCCAGGCCCTGAGTTCAAGCCCCAGGACTGGCACCCCCCCCCCCCCACACACAAAGAATAAATGGAAATCACTTTAGAACCAAAGAGTAATACGTATAAATAAGGCTTCCTAACCATCTAGAAGGTATGTTTAAAGCATCCTCTATATATTTGATCCTGTCTATGGAGGAGGTAGAATCTGGCAAAAGATTTGTTTCAATAAATAAAACTGGCTGGATACCTCTTCCAACCACTAGTGGTTATGGAAAAATAGTATCAGTAGTTTGCAGATTCAGTATAAACCATGAATAGGATAATTTGTCCTGGTAGTGGTGAGACCAAAATATGCTATGTAGAAAAAAAGTACTTTCTGTTCCATAAAGTGGGAGTTGGAGGGAAAGCTCTTTAGAACCACAAACACTGCCAATAGCAAGAAAGGCCTTCAGTGTCTGTTGGCCAAAAATGTCTACAGGCAAAGTCTAGACTGGAGAGCCATAAGTGGAAAGACCAGGCAAGTTCTTCCGCAAGGACCCACGTACTGACTTTCTGCCTAAGACCTGAGTTGTAGACTTCAATCCTTGCTCAAAGCATATCTGAACTTTTTTCCCCTATCAGGTCACTGTCAGAGATTGCCATTGCTATAAATCACATGTCAAGGACCTTAAAGGTCGACAGAGAAGAACACTGGACACAAAGAAGAAGAGCAGGGAATTCTCGCGTAGAGAATTTGGGGTAAGCACTATTTCATGACAAAGTTCCCAACCCTTACCCAAATGCAGACAACTTTTAAAGTTTCAACAAGTTAAATGATAATAAAGAAAACTGGGAGCTCACGCTTGTAATCCTAGCTACTCAGGAGGCTGAGGTGTGAGGATCGCAGCTCAAAGCCAGCCCGGGCAGGAAAACTGGAAGTGGCACTGTGGCTCAAGTGGTAGAACGCTAGCCTTGAGCTGAAGAACTGAGGGACAGCGCCCAGGCCGAGTTCACGCCCCACGACCGACAATTTAAAAAAGAAAACTCATTCAAAAAATGAGAGGCCCAAGCAACGTTCACAGCAATCTTTCCGGAAATAATACCTTAACTCTCCCGACCTCTCTTCTGTCTTCACTTTTCTTCTGATTCTACTCATCCTTCAAAGCCTAGTTTAAATCTTTATTTTTACTTTGTCGTAATCCCAATTAGCTTCGCATAGCACACAACATAGTATGTTTGTTGTTGTTGTTGTTGTTACAGTTTTTCTTTTAAATAGACTCGAGGACTGGCTTTAATACATGTTTTCAGAGCTGGCAATCCTTCCAAATAAATATCCCCTGAGTTTCCTTGGAGCCCTGGAAGGAACTTCTGGAACTGATAAAAATCTAAACACAAAGGATAAATACTTTTGATTCAAGTCAGCCCCAAAACTCTAAAGTTTTACCCTTTGCTCATTTTACTATGCATCAATTTGTCCAGAAAGGCGGAGCAGCGAACCCAGATGGCAGTTCTGCCACGTAACGCTCCCGCCCACTCCGTCGGGCCACGCCCAGCGTGCTAGTTGGCGATTGGGCGTGGCCCAATAGTTAGCGTGGCCGATTGGGCGTGGCGTGCGTGAGTGAAGGCGTGCCTGGGAAGAGCAACGTCCTGATTGGTCCAAACTCGATAGTTTCCGGTAATCCTCGACAATTTCCGGGCAACGGTCCACCTCCTCCCCCCGACTCACTTCGGATATTTCCGCGGTCCTTCGGACCTTTTCCGTCTAGCTCTCGCTTAGAGCGCTCCATTTCGGGTTTTTCCGTCACCCGCTCGGAGGTATTCGGCTATCGCTCGGCCTCCCCATCCCCCGGTAACGGTCGCTGGTGAGTTTAAATGAGCCGGGGCTGGCCGAGCCGAGCCGCTACGGTGGGAGTGCCTGAGGCACTGCAGAAAGTGGGCCTGAGCCGCTAGGATGACCGTGCTGCAGGAACCCGTGCAGGTAACCATAACCTCCGTCTCGGAGGCTTCGCGCGAAGCCTCGGTCGGCAAGCAGCGTTTAGCCACTTGGCGGCCTGGTGCGGCCTAGGCCTGGCTGCTTCTCCCGCCTCCCCTTCTGCGGGTCCGGCCTGTTTTTCGTCTGTGCCCGAGGCCTTGGCCGCCCACTAAGCCGTGTTGTCCCTGGCCCCCGCGTTACCGCTTCCCCTCGGTGTGAGTGGGGCTCGTCAGTAATCGCTTGTTTTCCGTCGGGGCTCGCCACAACCCCAGCCCCTCCTGTTCGTCTAGGGTCCTCCCCTCATCTGGGCCCTGGTCGGTGTGGGAGTGAGGGGCCGGAAGGGCGCCCCAAATGTCCTCTTGTCTCAGGGCTGACAAGGATACGCATTTGAACCGAGTTGGTTCCATCTTGATGGTGGTGGGACACGAGTTTGCGAGGGAAATTTTGTGTGTGTGTTTTCTGTTTGTGTTTTTGGTTTTTTTCTGTGAAAGGGTAGAGAAAGTGGTTATCGAGACTCGGTGTTAATCCGAATTTCTATTTTGGTAGCAGACTTTTCTAGCCTTCTCTCGTGTTGCCTTTATCGCCCAGTGGATTTCCCGTTGTACATTAATGATCTGAGAGAACTCCTAAAGATCAGTGCTGAGGTGCCAGCACCTGAACTAAGGGCGGGGGTGGGGGGGGGGTTGGTGGTGGTGGTGATGGTGATGGTGGTGGTGATGTGTGTGAAAAGAGCAAATCTGGGTTTTTCCATTGCCTGTGGATGGGGATCAAGATTATTTTATTGTACATGTTTATAAGGCAGTCTGGAAACGTAAGACAAACAATGCTTTTCCATCCATTTAATTGGCTCTACCCACACCAAGGCATGCTTTGACGTGCTGTATTCTGTTGTCGGGGAAGAAACCTTATTGGATTTTAGGTGTATAGTGCAGTGCCAAGACGTTTTCCCTCCTGCCATCTGAAGGAAACGGAACCCGTAAGTCCCTTGGGAGACTTTGAGCCCACTCTGATCTCTGTATCTTTGGGAAAAGTTGATATCCATCAACTGTAATCATTGTGTTCTGAACTTTATTTATTTAGTTGTTTATGTGGTACTGAGAATCGAACCCAGGGCTTCATGCATGCTAGGCAAGCACACTACCATACCACTAAGCCACATTCCCAACTCCTGAACTTTATTTTAAGTTATAAAGCACTGCAATTTTTTTTTTTCTTTTTGGGGGGATGAGGGGACGGTCGTGGGGCCTGAACTCTGAGCCTGGGCACTGTCCCTCAGCTCTCAGCTCAAGGGCTAGCACTCTACCACTTGAGCCACAGCGCCACGTCCGGATTTTTTTTTTTTTTTTTTGCTTTTTGTGGTGCTGAGGAATCGAACCCAGGGCCTCAGGCATGCAAGGCAAGTGCTCTAACCACTGAGCCACCTTCCCAGCCCCAGCACTGCAATTTTTAGAAATTCCCTCGGATTGCCTAAATAGGCCTGAGATAGAAAATAGTAAATGTTTTAATAATCTCTGCTTCCATAGGGCCTTCATTTTTTGTAACAGCACCGAAATACTCATTTCTCCTGGTTTGGCATGGTCTCCAGCTGTTCACATGGAACATATTTGGAAATATAAGGAAGGGTTGTTATCTTGGGAAATTTACCCATTTATAAGTTGGATCAGTCCTTCCAAAGCTGTGTTTCTTTTTTTTGTCTGTCATGAGGCTTGAACTCTGGGCCTGAATGGTGTCCCCAGCTCTTCAGCTCAAGGCTAGTGCTCTACCACTTGAGCCACTGTGCCACTTCTGGTTTTCTGAGTGGTTTATTGGCAGTAAGAGTCTCACGGACTTTACTGCCTGGGCTGGCTTTGAACTGTGCTCCTCAGATCTCAGCCACCTGAGTAGCTAGGATTATAGGAGTGAGCCACCGGAGCCCAGCCAAAGCTGTGTTTCTTTCTGTCCAAATTTCTCATACTGGTAGAGAAAACTTTGAGGCCTAACATGAGATTAAATAGGTGAAGAGAGGGGCTGGGAAGTTGGCTCAGTGGTAAAGTGCTTGCCTTGCAAGAATGAGGCCCTGGGTTCAATTCCTCAGACCACATAAGCAGAGAACACCAGAAGTGGTACTGTGGCTCAAGTGGTAGAGTGCTAGCCTTATACTGAAGAGCTAAGGGACAGTGCCCAGGCCCAGAGTTCAGGCCCACGACTGGCAAAAAAAAAAAAAAAGAGAGATTCCTCAAGCTGTTTAATTTCTATTTCATGTTTTTGAAATTTTCTCAGTGATTCTATTGTCTTTCTGGCCCAAAAAAATCTTTTTCAGTGATAAAGTGGTTGCACTGAGGACATATAACCACCATTTAAAGTCCTCTTAAGGGGCTGGGAAGGTAGCTCAGCGGTAGAGTGCAATGCCTTGCAAGCATGAGGCCCTGGGTTCGATTCCTCAGCACCACATAAACAGAAAAAGCAGGAAGTGGCGCTGTGGCTCCAGTGGTAGAGCACTAGCCTTGAGCTGACGAGCTGAGGGACAGCGCCCAGACCCAGAGTTCAGGCCCCATGACCGGCAAAAAACAAACAAAAAAACCCAAAAAACAAAATAAAGTCCTCTTAAAAGTAATACATTTAATATTTTTAATACACTTGATATTTTAAAAAGTTAAATTTGCTCCCCTCTCCATTGTATTTTTCACTAGATTGTAGGATGGTAAGAAGTTTTGGGATATAAGTAGGTGAGAATATTAGTAGCAACTTTTTTTTCAATTCAGGCATTGTAGCTCCCCTGTAATCTGAGCGCTTCACACACACACACACACACACACACCACACACACACACACACACACACACACACACACACACACACACACACACAACACACACACACACCACACACACACACACACACACACACACACACCACACACACACACACACACACACACACCACAGAGTAGGGGGCTGGGAATGTGGCTTAGTGGGTACAGTGCTTCCCTAGCATGCAAGCATGAAGCCCTGGGGTTGGATTCCTCAGTACCAAATACATAGAAAAAGCCAGAAGCGATGCTGTGGCTCAAGTGGTAGAGCACTAGCCTTGAGTGATAAGGCTAGGGGACAGTGCCCAGGTCCTGAGTTCAAGCTCCAGTACTGGCCAAAACAAAACAAAAAACAGTAGGCAGTGGGAGACAGTACTAAGAAAATGGGAAATAATTAATAAGAAAGACTTAAAAATGTGATAGTTCAGTAAGGCAGTGTATAAACATGTGACTGGTTCCATGAATTTGAAAAAGAATGAGAGTAAGTTGGAAAATTGCTTCCTTTCTTGGAATGCCTCAGGATTGTGGTATTACTAGGCATAGGAAAAAGTTGACAGAAAAAAAGATTTGAAGTCTTATAATGGAATAGCCAGTGTGATATGCCATATATGCTTTAAATACAAGCCTCTTCCCAAATTACCTCTCATAGACAAGTAATATTTTGCATTTGTATCTTTATACAAATCATATCTGGAGACAAGTTCTCTCACCTACTTTATGTTTAATAGCGACTATTGAGGAACACACTCTGGCCTAAATGACCTGAGTCAGTGTTAATTTGAATGTTCTTAAAAAGTAACTTGAAAAATTAGTTCTTTGGGTTTTGTTATGCTTTGTTTTGTGGTCCTAGGAACTGAACTCAGGATCTTGACTGCTAGGCCAGCAGTCACCACTTGAGCCTTACCTCTTAGTGCTTTCAGGGTTTTTTTCGTTTTGCTTTTTTTCTTTGTTTAGTTACATTTTGTATAGATGCTAACACTTTTGTGTCCAGGCCAGCCTTGAACCTCCATTTCCTACCTATGCCTCCTTGTTGAGTTGAGGTCTCTTAACTTTTTTGCCTGGGCTACTTTGAATAGAAATTGCATGACCACTACCTTGGGCTTGAACTCATGGCCTGGACACTAGTGGTCCCTGAGCTTTTTGTGTTCAGGGCTAGCATGTTACGACTTGAGCCACAGCTCCAATTCCAGCTTTTTTGGTGATAAATTGGAGATAAGATTCTCACACTCTTTCCTGCCCAGATGGCTTTGAACTGCAATCCTCAGATCTCAGCCCCCTGAGTAGGTAGGATTACGGGCTTGAGCCACTGGCGCCCAGCTGAAAATTGTTCTTTTTAGAAGAGGCAGCCTGGTATGGTTGCAAACAACTGTAATCCCAACACTCCAGTGGCCAAGGCAGGAGGGTGTTGAGTTTGAAGCTGTCCTGGCCTACATAGCAAGATCCTGCCTAAACATAAAAAAAAAAAGCAGTCATTTTATAAACATTTACCAATTACTTCTAAGAATAAGATTTCACAATTGGAAATGTTGGATGAAGTTGTAATTGGGTACTATATTACTATGTATATACAATATCTTTGAGAATCTTTGGATCATGAAGAACTACTGGTGGCTTGGAATAAAGTGTCCATTGGTGGTTTGTAACATTGTTTCAAAAAGTAACATACATGGGGGTAGGGGACAGTGGCTCACACCTGTAATCCTAGCTACTCAGGAGGCTGAGACCTGAGGATCTCAGTTCAAAGCCAGCCCTAGCCAGAAGTCTGTGAGACTCTTATCTCCAATTAAACCACCAGAAAAATGAAAGTGGCACTGAGGCTCAAGTGATAGAGCACTAGGCTTGAGCTGAAGAGCTGAGGGACAGCACCCAGGCCCAGAGTTCAAGCCCTATGACTGACAACAACAACAACAAAAAAGTAGCATACTTTGCTGTTTGGGAAGTGCTATGGTAAGTGGTGGGCAAGAGCAAAAACAATAATCTTAAAGGCAAAGTAGTAAGTCTCAAGTAGCAGTAGAGTAGGGACGAGTAGATTTCAAGAAATAATTTAGAAGCAGAAATTCAAGAAATATTTGAGGAATTGTTTGATAGGGAGCATATCATGAATGACTGCCTTGATTTAATTGTGGTAGTGCCATTTAGAAATTAATTATTTTCTGCCTAGCAAGGTCAGGCTAAATTTGAAATAGGACAGTTAAGAATTCTGTTTTAGCCAGGTGCC